GGAGGTGTAAACACACCCAGCCGAGAACTCGCGGCTCCCTTGGTGGGGCTGCGAAGTGCGCAATTGTCGCCCTTTTCGTGGGCGTTTGGAAGGCCCAGCGCAGTGGAGTTGTAAACACACCTAGTCGCGACCTCGCAGCCCCCATAGGGGGGCTGCAAAGTGCGCAAGTGCCACCAGTTTCGTGGGCTCCTGGGAGGCCCAGCGGAGTGGAGGTGTAAACACGCCCAGCCGAGACCTCGCGGTTCCCTGGGTGGTTGCGAATTGCGCAATTGTCGCCACGTTCGTGGTCTCCTTGGAGGCCCAGCAGAGTGGAGTTAAACACACCCAGTCGAGACTTCGCGATTCCTTTGGTGGCTACGAAGTGCGCCATTGTCTCCATCTTCGTGGGCTCCTGGGAGGCCCAGCAGAGTGGAGTTGTAAACACACCCAGTCGAGATCTTGCGGTTCCCTGAGTGGCTACGAAGTGCGCCATTGTCGCCAGATTCGTGGGCTCCTGGGAAGCCCAAGCCCAGCAGAGTGGAGCACCCAGTCGAGACCTCACGGTTCCCTGTGTGGCTGCGAAGTGCGCAAGTGTAGCCACGTCCGTGGGCTCTTCAGAGGCCCAGCGGAGCAGAGCTGTAAACACCCAGCCGAGACTTCGCAGCTCCCCCTTGCGGAGATTGCGAACTGTGCAACTGTCGCCATGTTCGTGGGTTTCTGGGAGGCCCGGCGGAGGAGAGTTATAAACACACCCGGTCGAGATTTCGCGGTTCCTTGGGTGGTTGCGGATTGCGCAAGTCTCGCCATGTTCGTGGGCTCCTGGGAGGCCCAGCGGGGTGGAGCTGTAAACACGCCCAACCGAGACTTCGCGGCTCCCTTGGTGGGGCTGCGAAGTGCTCAATTGTCGCCACCACGTTCGTGGGCTCCTGGGAGGCCCAGCGGAGTGGAGTTGCAAACACACCCAGCCGAGACCTCGCGGCTCCCCTGCGGGCCATGTTCGTGGGCTCCTGAGAGGCCCAGCGGAGGGGAGGTGTAGACACACCCAGCCGAGATTTCGCGGCTCCGCGGGTGGCTGCGAATTGCGCAATTGTCGCCACTTTCGTGGGTTCCTGCGGGTACAGCAGCATGTTAGGCTGTGTTGATCGATCCTGTGCATCGTCGTCACATGTGTAGGTTGGGTACGTCGCAGAGTACTTTGATGTAAGATACGAATAAGTATGATTTGTCGTCATGCGGGCCGCATGCGCGCAAGCGTATCGGGTCGGGTTCATTATGTGAATTGTGGATGAGTCAGTTCACAGCGACGGGCCCAACCCGAATCAGCTGCGTGCAGTCTCGGCGCTGGTCCTCTCCTCGATCGCTGTGCGCCGCTGGATGGGGCGTGGGTTCTACGGGCGCGCCCACCTGGGCTCTGGGTGGAGCATGGTCCGAGCGAGGGGGGTGCCGACATGAGCGCGGCGTCGCCATGCGACCTGGCCTATTGTGGCGTGGCCGCGGAGTTGATTTCTGGTCGGGGAGGCGCGTGAGGGGTGCGAGGGATGCGCCGAAATGGGCGCTGTCCCGCCATGCGATTTGGCCCGTTGCGGCCGTAGGCGTGGCTACTTACGGGACAACTCGCGTGAGGGACACGCCTGAATGGGCGCGGCGCCGTCATGCGAATTGGCCCACCAAGGTTGCAGGTGGAGCCCCTTGTGGAGCACGACCCGCGTGAGGGGGTGAGTCGAAATTCGCGCGGCGCCGCCGCGCGGACTGGCCCATTGAGGCCGCAGGCGAGCTCGCTGCGAGGCACGATGCGCGTCAGGGGTGGGTCGAAATTCGCGCGGCGGTGCCGCCTTGCAGATTGGCCAGCGACGCTCGCACGCGGAGCTCCTCGGTGGGCACGACCCGCGCGAGGAGCGTGCCAAAGCGGGGGGCGGCGCCGCCCTGCCGCTCGGCCCGCCGGGGGGGCGCAGGCGGAGCCCCCCTGGGAGAGCACGAGGCGTGCGAAGTGGTGTGCGGGCGGGAAGTGGGCAGGCGTCCGCGCCCGTGGGAGCCGCAGGTGGGGCTCCCCATAGGGGCACCGTCCCAGGTGAGGGGTGCGCCGACCAGGGGCACGAGCGGGCGTGCGCCCACCATGGCGGGGCCGCAGACGGAGCCCCCGTGCGGGGCGGGGAGGGGGAGGGGGGCACAAGATGTGAGGGATGCGCCGATATCGGCAGGGGGGGGGTCGGCATGCGGTCCATCGGCATGGGGACCGCAGGTGGCGATCGCTATGGGGGCACGACGCGTGTGAGGGATGTGCCAAAAATGGCGGTGGGCGCCATACGGTCCATCCCCGCTCGGGCCACAGGCGGAGATTTCCTAGAAGAGCACGGCGCACGCAGGGGTGGGATGGGGGCACGAAACGCGTGAGGGCGTGCCATAATGAATGCGGGGCGGCCTGCTGCCCACCCCTGCAGGGGCCACAGGTGAGCTCCTCAGGGGGGGTGCACGAAACGTGCCAGGGTGTGCCAGAATGAACGCGGGGCGGCGTGCTGCCCACCCCCTGTTGGGGCCACAGGCGGAGCTGCTCCTGGGGGCACGACGCGCGTGAGGGTGTGCAAAAATGCCCACCCCTACCGTACACAGTAGATCGCTGAGGGGGGTACGAACGTGTGAGGGGTGCGCCAAAAAGGGCGCGGGGCGGCTGACGCCCATCCCACTGAGGCGGCCTCAGGTGGAGCTCACAGTTGGGGCACAAGTTGTAATAAGGAGTCTGCCGAAATGTGCGCGGGGCGGAATGCGCCCATTCCCACTAGGGCCGCAGGTGGAGATCCTTATGGGGCCACGATACGGGTGAGGGATGTGCCGAAATACACAGGCGCATGTCATGCAAGGGAGGGGAGGGCAAGAGGAGGAGGAGGAGGAGGAGGAGGAGGAGGAGGAGGAGGAGGAGGAGGAGGGGGAGAGGGGAGGAGGAGGAGGAGGAGGAGGAGGAGAGGAGGAGGAGGAGGAGGAGGGAGGAGGAGGAGGAGGAGGAAGAGGAGGAGTAGAAGGAGGAGGAGCAGAAGGAGGAGGAGCAGAAGGAGGAAAAGGAGGAGGAGGAAGAAGAGGAGGAGGAGACGCGCGGCGCTGCGGATTCAAGACGAGGACCCGAAGCCAGTAGCCGCGGGCTTGCACGTAGATGTTGCCCAACTTTCATATGAACGCGTCAATGACGAGAGGCTTGTCGAACTTGGTTCTCATCTGCTCGTGCATGAGTCCATCGACCTGCACAATCAAATAACTGGAGGTCAAGTCGAGATCCTGACAAAGCTTGCATCGCCCAATTCTGCCCTCCATACCTGAATGTCCCGTCCGACCCAGCCCGCCCGCCCGTTAAGAGTCCGCCCGCGCGACGCGCCCGTGAGTGTCCGCCGGCCCGGCCCGCCAGGTAGACCCTTACCAATTCCCCGTCGTTCATTTCAGCAATGGCCTTCGGCCTGAAGGAATGGTTGTATGATGCCAAGGGCCACGATGAGTGTAGAGTTGTATGGTTCGTTGGGTGGGTGGTGGCGGTCGCGCTCCACAACTCGATGGTCCTCTAGTCCTACGCTGGCACACATACTTTACAAGGACTGCTGCCTTCAAGCAGAACCAGACCGCATCCACAATGGGGCGATTTTTAAAAATAAAAACACGAACAGTATTATATATAATAAACCAACAAACAACAACAGAAAAACAAAAACACAAAAAACAAAAAAAAAAAAAAAAAAAAAAAAAAAAACGCGGGACATTATTCCTGGTCTATCCAGCGGGGGCGCGTATCGAGAAACCAGATGTTTTTCGTCGTGGCACCTTTGGTCTTTTCGCTGCGCGCGCGCTGAGCAGTGACTTCCCGCTGGCGTTCAGAAGCTGCTGCATTCAGGTTGCCTTGAGTTTTCACCCCACTTACGCTTCGCGCTGGGATTGTTAGGGCTTGGCTTCTTGCAAGAGGTTCTTGCGGCTGAGTCCGCACTGTACTAGAACGCAGTGGCCAGGACGGATCTGGCCTTGGCACTTTGCCTTAGCACTTTGCCTTGAAAGTAGACCATGCCATGCACATGCGTTGATTTGACATGTGTGTTTTGCAGCAATCCGGATCAAGTGATATTATGCAGGAGGGTTACACGCACACAAACTTGTCGAGGTTGTTGCAAAACCATATGTGTTCAAAGCATTCCGTCGCACACGCAATCAAAACATGACCAAGACATAGCACAAAAGTTGCCAAATCACATTGGCGCGTGGACATGTGCAGATCCTGCAAAAGCATTGCTTCCCTAACCTCCTCATTCCAGAGTCCTCTGTCATCCAAATTGGTCCAATAGAAACGAATGCGTTATGCTTCCATTAGATCGTGCCGCGCAGGCCATCAGCGTTCCCCATGTTCGCCGCAAGCAGCGTGCACTGCGTGAGTTCGGACACAGTACGGCGCGGACCACGCGCGCGTGTGCGCGCCAACCCCCCACCAGCGCCACAAGACGTGCGCGCAGTAGTTCGCAATGTTGCACCGACTTGCGAGCTGATTTCGGGCACAAGGGGAGTCCGTGAACATGTCTTCATCGCCCGCATATTTCACGGTCGCTGACATGAAAGATTATATAACCGTTTGGCACAACAGATTACGAAGGGCAACGTTTCATGATTGGATGTGCAGGCTGGTTGTTTGTAATATATCTGGGTCGCAACTAGATAATTTTCTGGAAAGTCTGCGATCTTCTGCCCCACTATTGTTTCACCTTGTCTGGTCATACTTCCTTGTGCTACATAATGTGTCTTCTCAGCAAAATTCCAGCGCGCTCCATTCTACCAGTTCTGACTCCAGTCCGCTCTACTCACGATGCTCCGCTCAGTGTGTTTCTGATATAGTCTTGTCCGTTCGATTACAATTACACTGCGAATCAGACGAAAGTCCGATGCCGAAACACATATACCATGGCTTGACGACGATGGTTCGGGCTTGCTCGTGCTGGAACATATTGTATGTTGAATGCGTGAATTTCATGTGCCGTCGTATATCAGCACTGTTTGGCTGAGAGGCTGCATTTCCATTCGGCCACGGCTTGACCTACACGACGTTCGAACACCGACGACCTCAGCTACTGAATCCTAGCGATTGTGAGGCATCCTTTTCTTGTCTTTACCAGCAAATGTGGGCCAGAGAAGAGAACGTTATACGCATTGCTCCTCTTGAGTGAGTGCCCGTGGCGGCGAGGGATAAGACATGAAACGGTCATACGCAGAAATGTGATAGTGTCATGGACGGGCGCCGAAATGGTTACGTTGGCCGATCATTCGGGATGTGATTCAGCTTGGCCCATACTCTCATATTTGATCGTGCTCTTCCGAGTCAGTATACCCAAAGTTTCGCACGTTGTCTCATGTTTCCGCGTTCCAGTGTTTCATGTATTCGTTTTATGTTGCTTATCATATGCACGACGTTATCCAGGTACGATGGTCGTGTCATCATGTGGTCATTGATCATGCGTGTCTGCGTCGATGTTGGCACAAGTGGACGTGAGGGATAGTCCGGCGTGATGAACAGACAGTATGGCGGAGGACGTTCAAGCACGTCTCCGACCATATTCTTGCAGAGCGCGGAAAGTATTGCCCTCCACTCCGGCTGTGTTCGGGCGCAAGGTGCGCACACACTCAGTGGAACGTGTAAGCGGTGGGGCAGGCTGTCGTACCGCCGTTGAGTGACCTCCACAGGTGCAGCCCGCTGTGGGGGGCACGGCACGTGCGAGGGGTGTGCCCCACCGAGCTCCGGGCGGCATGCGCCACGCCCACCGAGGCCGCAGGTGTGGCTCGCCGAGGGGGCCCGACACGTCCGCTCCGGGTCACGGGTACAGTTCTGGGCTCAGAAGGGTTTCTGGCTCTTTGGCCGTTGCTTAGACTGAGATCGGGGAATCCATTCGTGGCCAAGGCTCGCCGTGGCCAGAGCAGCCCCTGCTTTCCTGATTCAGCGCTCTGCATTGTCAGACGTGGCTTTCTCGTGGTGCTCATCTTTCCTCGGGCCCCCTCTGGCCCTTGGTCGTCCCCGTCCCCTGGGCTAGCGGTGGCAGGTGCTGCGGCTCCTGGTGCCCGTGCACAACACCGGGGCATTCGACGGCGAGAGCGTGGTGCAGGCTTATGTCAACTTCACGGGTTCGGAGAGGTCACTACCGCTGATGCTCAAAGGCCTCCCCTCCTCACTTACAGGACGCCCAAGCAGGGCCGAAGTAGATGAAGTCGGCGAGTCGCGCCGCATCGCCGATGCATCGCCGATGCGGCTCGATGCGGAGCCCGATCTTCTCCACACCGACGTCGGCGATGCATCGGCGATGCGGCGCGATCCTCCGGCACCATCCACGTCGACCCCACGTGGGCGGCTTCCGCAGTTACGGCTCGTCCGGACACATCGTTCGCGTTTGAAAGGTATTCCTCGACTTTGCTTGTGTGGGGTGAGGCATCGTCGTACTCTTCGACGTCTGAGCGTCCCTTCTTCCTCTCGGCCGTCCCCCCTCTCTCTTTGCCCGCCGGCCAATTCGCTAGTTCGTGCCCCTTTCTACCTTCTCGCTGGAGCGGAGTTCGCCGCCTCGCCGCCGACGAAAATAGACATGTGTGGGGTGAGGCTGGCTGGGATCTTTGAGTTCCACGGCAGGACCTGCAACTTGCATTTGACGGTCATCAAAAGTCCTTGATGACAGAAACGTCCTTTCGTACATCTTCAGGCATTGTTCGTGTTTGTATGTTTCCTCATGTTCCTTCCGATTCGTTCAGAGCCTACCTATACGACCACCCTTCGGGTGACAAGTAGGCTAGTGGGAAAGAAAACCCATTGACGACAATTGCTATGATTTTGATGGCGACGATGCTGGCTGGCGTTGCGCTCACGAGACGGCGACGATGCACGATGACGCTGATGGTGAGAATGCATAATGGAACGCCCATAGAGCTGCCAACTCTGCACATTGGCAAAGCCTGCAGACACTCGGCGCGACGAGGCATGGGAGGCGGCGCGCTCGAGGCATTGACAATCAAGCAAGATCCTCCCAGGCATTCCCCGCAGCTCCGCACTGCGCGGCGCTGGCCGGGGACGCAGGCCCGGACGCCGCGTAGCCACGCCAGGCGTACCGCGCGACGGCGGCGGTGCCGAGCGCCACGCGGCACTCCCGCCCGGGCGAGCGGACTCGCGAGCCCCCCGACCGTGTGGCGCCACGGCTGGTCGTTCCCGCAATTGCTTTCCGCTGGAGAGTTCCTCGATGAAGCTTCTGTGCGGCGACGAGGGCGACCGCGGCAGCTCCTGCGACCGAGCCGCGGCGGCCCGACCAGTCGCCTCCGTCGCCCGGGGCATCAGCAGATCGACCGAACAGGGCTGCGCCGCGTGTTTCTGGCCGCGCAGCTGGCCCCATATCCTTTTCCGCCCAGCCCCGTTCCTAACCACGCGGTCAGCTCCACCACTCCTCCTGCCCCTTTGTCCGCCCAGCGCCACCCCCCGGCTGAAGGCGCGGCCGTGACTCCCGAAGCGACGGCGGCGGCCGACGCGATGGCAGAGCCTGGTGCCGCGACCTCCGAACCTACCTTTCGCGCCCTTAGGGTCCAACAGAATTTGGCGCGCTTCGCGGTGAAAGTCTGAAGACCCCCGTGCGGCAGGAGCTTATTGAACACGCTGTACATGCGTTCATCGTGCGGCTTGAGCCCCATCTTCCAGCGGCTGATGCACGACGGGTCGAACTCCCCGCCCTTCGCGAACAGACACTGGCGCACGAGATCGGACACGCGCGCTTCAGCGTCTGGCGTCGCGGCCTCCGCGGCTGCATCCTGCAGGCGCGCTGGGACGTGCGCCGGCAGCGCCTGGCGCCCCGGGTCGGCGCCGGGCAGAGGCACCAACAGTTGGGCTGGAGGGATCGCCCAGTGCACCGGGCGAAGAAGGAGTTCTGATGGGGGCGCACTGATGAGAGCGGCAGCCGCGCGGAGACGTGCCAGCTCAGACGCTTCATCTTTTGTTTTGCCCTCATCTAGTTAATTCAAGCTTCGCGCGGCCCGCTCAGCTTCGACCGGAAGAGGTGCGCTCTCGACCCGCGAATCCAAAAATTGTTTTGCCCTCACCACACACAACGAGTCGCCGGCCAGCTCCGTTGGCAGAGGAGCGCGCGGCGGGTCCAGAGTGTACTGCCAGTCGGCCCTGGCAGAGCCTGGCGCCGAGAGTTCCTGGCACTTCGCCATGACCTGCATTATTCTTCCTCCTCCTCCTCCTCCTCCTCCTCCTCCTCCTCCTCCTCCTCCTCCTCCTCCTCCTCCTCCTCCTCCTCCTTCGAGCGCGTGGATGCATGGTTGTTCGGCCTTGTGTGCCACGAAATCCCGTTGGCACGGCGCTCCGAAAGATGCGCTTCAAGTGCAGCGGCGCCCGCGCGCCCGCCCGCGCGAGCGGTGGAGCGAGCAGGCACGAGCCCGGCAGCCGCGACCACCGGCGGCACGGCACGCCCGTGGCGGCACGGCCAGAGCGGAAACGGCCACGGCGATGCAAACGGTAGCAGTGGCAACACGCATCCCGATTGCAACTACGCTCGCGATGGTGACGATGGCGCAGGAGCTTTCGACGCAGGGCGCCTGGGACACCAGGACACCACGCGGGGACAACCAGGACATCCCGCTGTTGGTCTCACTGCCGATCCCACTATCGATCGCACGATCGATATCATTATCGATCTCAATATCGCTTTCTCGATTGACCTGGTTATCGATCCCAAACCGATCTCATTTTCGATTCCACTACCGATTTCACCTTCGATCTCACTTTCGATCCCAATATTGATCTCTCAACATATCTTACGAGACACCATCGGAACACCACGATGGGGCACCCCCAGCCACGGCGGGGCACCTCCAGCCAAAGATCTGTTGTGATCGATCTCGCTATCGATCTCACGATCGATCTATCGATCTCACCTTCGATCACGCAACCGATTTCACTGTCGACCACACCATCGATCCCATAACAGTTCTCACGAACTACAATCGCGGCACCACGGCGGGACACCCCAGACCACCGTCGGGACACCCCGCGCCACCGACGGGGCACTCCCGACCAGGCCACCAGCGGGGGGGTCTCAGTTCCATTGCGATCTCACCCTCTCACATCCGACGATCGCGATGGCAAAGATGACGCAGGAACCTTCGACGCAAGGAGCGCGGGACACCACATGGACACCGCCAGGGCTTTCCGGTATCGATCTCACTGTCGACCTCGCTGTCGATCCCACGATCGATCTCATGATCGATATCACCATCGACATCGGTATTGATCTCACCATCGATCTCACAATCGGTCTCCCTTTCGATTCCACGATTGGTCTTTTAACAGATCTCGGGAGCGATCACACACCCAGTGGCGTTCAGCACGATCGAGACACCAGCAGCACAATATCGCGACACCCTCGGAACACCAGCGGGCCAAATAAATGCCGCCACAACGGCCATTACGGACACGAGCTTCGCCGGGCCATTACGGAAGGCAAGCGGCAATAGCGGCGACCAGGTTGGCATTGATGAATCGGGCTCTTTCTGTCTGCAAGCCCAGTCGCGCGGAAGCTGGCGGCTCAAGACCCGGCAGAACTTGGCAGTGCTTGGGCCAATGAGCCCGGCAGGACGCGCGCCTGCTGAAGCACTCCCGCCGTTCCTCCGCTCCCGCGCCCAGCCATGCCAGGCGCACCGCGCGACGGGCGGCGGCGCCGAGCGCCACGCGGCATTTCCGCCCGGGCAAGCGGAGTCGCAGGCCCCCCGACCGCGTGGCTCGGGGGCGGAAAAGAGGGGGGTGATGACTAGGGGGGGGGATATCATGGCGGGGGCCATGATGTTTCCCCAGATTTCAGGGCGCCGTTTCTTACTTCATTGCGTCCCTGGCCCCCCCGCTGGGCCGCGCACATGCCGCCGGTCATGATTTGCACCCCCCTCTTTGACAACCCCCCTCTTGGCCCCACGACCGCGTGGCGCCACGGCCGCTCCCCCGCCGGCGGAACCGCAGGCCTCCCAGAGACCGACGGCGGCGCCCGACGCACGGGCACCGCCTTGCGCCGCATTTTCCGGAAGCGCCCGCTCGAGGCGCATTCGCGGTGTGGCCTGGCGCGCGTCGAGATTGAAGGGGCCCTGGGACACACAAATAAATACACACAAATAAAAGGGTTCCCCATATCTTCCCATATTTTCTGGGTTTTTGTCTTCCCCCCCACTTCCCATATTTCCCCTATTTTCTTGGGGATGGACGATTAATTGTGTCTGTGTGCTTCTTCCCCTCCTGAGAGACATTGGCCCCGAGCAGGCCGCGCTGCCAGGCGAGGGGGCGAGGAAGGAGGGAGAGAGGATCACGTTGGGGGAGGGGAGGCGGTAGGCAGGGGAGGGGGGGCGGGGGGAGGGCGCAGGCCTCTGGTCCTGCAGGGTCGGGGCCGCCGTCGATGACGAGCACGGCCCCGCCCGCCGCCGGCAGCCACCGCTGCTGTACGCCGCGCTCCCGGGCGCGCTTGGACAGCTTCCTCTCCGTAGGGTCCGGCGTTCTGGGCCCGGGGACGCGCGCGTCCGGTCCGCCGCGGCGCGGATGCAGTCAGGGCTGCGCTTGACGGCGGCGGCGCGCGCCGTGCGGTGCGCCGACCGCCTCTGCCACGCATCCTCGTTGCACTCCTCGTCGGCCCCGATCCAGCTGCGGCTCCTCCCCCCGCTCCTCGGTGCACCACGGCACGCGGAGCGGCCCGTGCAGCATCGGAGCGAAGGCCACGTCGTCCATGGGCATCAGGTCGACGCACATCGGCTCGCGCGGACAGGGGATGCGAAGAGCTCGCCCGACGCGTCGGCGCTCACCCAGCCTCCTGCTGGCAGGGCATCCGGCGCAAGCGCCTTCAAGACCGTGCGCCATTGCCGCACGCTCTTCTCCCAGGCGCGCGCTTGCTCACCTCCTGCTCCCTCGGCTCCAGTTGAGGCCTGGCGACGTGCCCCGCCACCGCACTGCAATCCCCACTCAGCTTGACCGCAGCAGCGCACGGCTCCCAGTGCTGCGCCCAGCGCTCCCATTCATCCCATTCACACCGCCCTGGAGGCAGCATCACTACTGGGGCGAGGCCGCGAACATCATGAGACCTGGACACTGCTGCACTCGAACCTCAGGAGCTACCGGTTGCTCCTGCACTTGGTTCGCCCAAGCCACCCCGCGCGGCGCGTGATTCGTCCAATCCCAGCAGAGGCTCGAACCTAAATGGTTACGGAGGCCTGTGGGGGCTCTCTTGAGGGCCTCTCCGGAACCTTCTGGACCTTGACGCCTAGAGCGGGCGGTTTCCGTGACTGGCATTGCGACCGATCCTACGATCGATCTCACAATCGATCTCTCGATCTCATGATCGATCTCACGATCACGATCGATCACGCAGTCAATCTCATTATCGATCTCACGATCGAGCTCACAATTGATATCACGAGCTACCATCGAGACACCACGGTTGGACACCTTGAGCTACCGTCGGGACACCCCGCGCCACCGACGTGGCACCCCCGCGCCACCGACGGGGTACCCCGGGAACCCGCCCACGGGGGTGGGGCGGTCAAACGGCTCCACGGCCCCTAGCCACGCCGGCATCATTCTTGTCGCGCGCCCACGCAGCTTCGCCTCGCACGCACGGCACAAACGCGGAACCGAAATCGATTTCCCGGCGCCGGGCTCTCCATCAAATTGCGATCTCATCCCCTAATTTCCGATCAACGATTTCTTTGGGGATTCCGGCAAATCGACAAGCCGGTTCTATTCAGGACAAAACATAAGTGTGGACGGTTGAGTGTAGGCAGAGTTCGGAGAATTGCAATCATTTGGGGTTTGCGAGCAGTATACAGACAGAGACAGTTTTGCGGCTATTCAAATTTCCAGTGATATTGTGGCAAACAGGCACCTTCGAACATTCCCAAGAAAACATAGATCTCGCTGCTTCAAAGAGCAGCACGAGGATGAAAAAGGATAGGATGCGGCGGCTGGTGGCATTTGCTTGGCTGGAGGACTCGGTTGCATGACTCACTGCTGCACCTGTGTGCTTTCACGTTTAGCCAAAAATTTCTTGCGCCTCAGGCGTCCACCTTGTCGCTGAGGTCATTTGCGCGCATCGGCCCAGGGCTGCCGCTAATCATGTGACTTCGCCAGTGTTGGCGCGCCGCTCTCAATTAGGAGTTTCTCGCGCATTGGGTTCGGATACGCTTTTGCCGGGCATGGTCACGCGTTGGATCATATCGGCCGTCGTCGGTTGTGCGAGCGTGGGCTCCCCTGTGTCGCCCGGAAGTTTCCTGCGTCGCGACCCGGCGCCCTCGTTGGATTTGTCGAGGGTCGGCCCCATGTTCTCGTTGCCTTTCACGGAAATCGCCGATTTTGGAAGGTCGATGCCCCCGAGGTCGTCGACATGCCCAGGGCTGTCGACGTCAGTCATGGATTCCTTGCACCTTGGCACATCCTTGTCCCTCCGTTTCTACAATGGGCATGGTATGCATCGGCTCGCCCTGTCCGTTGTCGACTGCGCGAGCGTGGACTTCTCCATATCGCTTATAAGCTTCGCGCACTTCAGGCCATTGCTCTCCGTGCTGTGCCTGATCTGATGATGAAAACTCAGTCTTCTGATTGTCCATGTTGGAGATCGCTCATGTGGGAAGTTCGCATTCCTTGGGGTCGCTTACGCGTCTGGGGTGGTCGACACCGCATCTTTTCAGGACGCTATGCACGTAGGGTCCTCCACATTTTCACGAGTCCAGCGGCGGGAGATCGTTTCTGCAGGTCTGGGTCAGCGTCTGCCCGCGTTTGCCCATCATATCTTCGTCACTAACTAGTGCTTGCATTGTTCGCCAGCCCTCAGGAACCAATTCACTGCTCGTCGTAACGTCGTCCAACTACTACGTCGTCACCGATGCTCGTGCGATCGAGACCCATACATATCATAAGGTCCCTGCTGATCTACATTGCCCTGTTTGCATCGATACAGATTCCGCTCATCCAAATTCTTCGTAGGAGCGATAGGTTTCCTGCTCGCGCGACTCCTGCTGCGGATCGCCCAGGTGGCGCTGCGACCATGTGGGCCCCCCTGATCGCTTCCCCTGAAAGAAAGGGGAAGGAGGAGGGGGGGAGGAGGAGGAGGAGGAGGAGGAGGAGGAGGAGGAGGAGGAGGAGGAGGAGGAGGAGGAGGAGGAGGAGGAGGAGGAGGAGGAGGAGGAGGAGGAGGAGGAGGAGGGGAGGGGGAGGAGGAGGAGGAGGAGGAGGAGGAGGAGGAGGGAGCAGGAGGGAGGAGGAGGAGGAGGAGGAGGAGGAGGAGGAGGAGGAGGAGGAGGAGGAGGAGGAGGAGGAGGAGGAGGAGGAGGAGGGAGGAGGAGGAGGAGGAGAGCGGAGAGGAAGAAGAAGAGGAGGAGGAGGAGGAGGAGGTGGGGAGGAGGAGGAGGAGGAGGAGGAGGAGGAGGGAGGAGGAGGAGGAGAGGAGGAGGAGGGGGAAGAGGGGGAGGAGGAGGAGGAGGAGGAGGAGGAGGAGGAGGAGGAGGAGGAGCAGGAGGAGAAGGGGGAGGGGGAAGAGGGGGGGGGAGGAGGAGGAGGAGGAGGAGGAGGAGGAGGAGGAGGAGGAGGAGGAGGTGGGAGGAGGAGGTGGGAGGAGGAGGAGGAGTTGGGAGGAGGATAAGGAGGAGGAGGTGGGAGGAAGGAGATTGTCCTCGTCCCTCTGACCAGGCAGGGAGGTGGGGACTGGTGGGGCGTGGCCGGGGGGGCCTGCCGCGTCATGGGGTGCTCGGGGAGCCAAGTGGTCGGCCTGGAGCAAAGATTAAGTCTGGCGGCTTCCTCTACAGGGGAAAAATTCAACAATGTCTGACCAATATCTGGATGTACCTGTCTGAGTGGGTAGCCATGCTTGCGCTGCAGCTTTCTCTCTGCGCGCCTTGCCTATCTGGGAAGTGGTGTTGTGAGCCTGACACACCTAGCACTGCGTGTTATTACATGTCGTTTTCTATTTGCATACAAGGCATGTTGCTCTGCGTATTCCCTGGCCGTCGCCCTTCCATGAATACCCCGGGCTCAATTCAGGCTTCATCCGTACTGGCAATATCTCCAAGTCCAAGGTCCACGAAGTCTTGATTAGTTTCACGGAGCGTGACGTCTCATTGTTCAAAGCCGACGTCGGGTTCGTGCAGGAAGGCGTGTTTGTTTGTGCGGCTTCATGTTCGGCGCAGTGGCTTGCGTGTTGTACGCACATTGTAGCTGATGACGGCGATGGGGAGTTAATGGGGTGAATCGTTCGGCATCTTCAAGATAATGTGGAACCATGGGGGCAAATTGGGCATCCCGAGACCGTCTTACAACTCGTTGGGCAAGAAGCGTCTTCGGATTGCCTCGGCAAACCTCCATGCGTTCATGTTTGTCAGAATCAGCGCCATCGTTACGCACACTCTGCCAGGCCCAAGTCAAAACAATCGTAAAAAAGCGAAATGTGGGAAACAGCATTATGATAGAATGTTGTCGATGGTCCCGCCGCGCACTTGCTCTCGGGTTGGTTTTGTGCGGCCCATGGTGAAGCTTGCAACGTGCGGACATATTTCACGCGTTTGCCCAGCGGACAGGCATTCAACCGCATTCGGTAAGAGTGGCAGGTGAAAATGGAAGTAGGATTCAGAAGGGTCGACAATTCAGGAGTATGAGTGGCATGGTCAGTGAACAGGAGCGGAAGAGTGATTCGGGAAACGAATGCGTAATAAACATTTTTCTTGGTTTCCGGTGCTATGTAAAAGCGTCATTGTTTCATTTCTAGTATGTAGTGGCCGTCGGCCTATTTTGCCACCATGCTTGGCTTGTGGACAAGAGGCCTCTTGGGGTATCTTGGGAGACCTAGGGTGGGGGGCTTGGTGACCTCTTGGGGGCCTGCTGGCGGTCTCGTTCGTGGCCATCTTGGCCCGAAGTCTCGAAATGTCAGTTCGGGCGTTCCTCCTTGGGGCCTCTTTGGTCATCTCGGGGTCCTCGGCGGCCGTTTTGGGGCGACATTGGAGGCCTACTTGGCCGACCTGAACCCCTCATGAGCGAAAAGCTGAATAGTTGATTACCTTCCCAGACACTGCATTTCAATGAGTTTGCCTTCTTGGGCCAGTTCCCCAGGGCGACCCGAGAGGCGACCAAGAGGGCTCCAGGACGGGTCTGGCGCCATCCCAGGCCATGTTGGAAGTGCGGAGTCCTTTGAAAAGGTCACGTGACGAATCCCAGGAAAGCGCGAGAGTTCCCGGAAATTCTTGGAGATCAGGAGTCCTGGCCTTAACAAGTATCCAGCAGCTTGCGGCAAGTCCCGCCACCGTGCCAGCGCAGCATTCAGTGTGGCCACAATTCGAGCACCGCCCAGAAGGCCGCAACATGTGACTCGTCTCGTCTATATGCCTTGAGGGGATCGGGGCCTCTTGGGGTCTTCTCGGGTGCTGTTGGGTGCCCGAGTCCTGCGTAGATCGCAGCGAAGACTCAAGCGAGAGCGCTGTTCCTGGGCGTCGCGGGCGCAGCGCCTGAGTAAATTGGCAGGAAGTCCTGAGCGAGAGCGCGATTCTTGAGCAAAGTGTGAGGAAGTCCCACGCGGAAGCACGTTTTTTTAAGACACTGCGAGGAGGTATGAGGCGGGCGACGCTGCTGTTCTCAACCGGGCGGAAACAACACAGCTTGAGTTTCAAGGTGTTCCTTGATAGAGAACCTGGTGCGAGCCCGCGGGGAGTCACGTCAATTGAAACATGCAATGGTCGTTTGGCCGTTGTTTGACGTGAAAGATCAGCAATCAGTTTGAGTACGTTCGCTCTTCGTTGACCGCGCGTCACTCAACGTGTACGCCCCAAACCTTCGATAGCCGCCCTTTCGCCTTCGATCGCACCCCTTTGAGAGGTATAGCTTCCTTGCCCGCCACGTGTTGTTGGCGCGGCCCATGAAATAAGAGGAGGGAAAAGAAAAAAGGGAGAGAGAGAGAGAGAGAGAGCAAGGAAGGAAGGAGGAAACGAGACTGGAGGGGGGCAAAAGGGAGGGAGGAGGATTACCCGTCGGTCGTTGAAAGTGGGTACTTTGGGATTCCCAGATTCCAACCTATTTTAAGCGCCTTCCTACTTCAATGATCGAGTGGCTTCAGCTTTTCCGTCCTCCTTAGGGGGCGGGCGGACACCCAGTTTTCTTTCGACGCCTTTCTGCTTCATGCTTCTACCTACTTCTTCCGACCGATGAGTAAGGGCGCAGAGGGCTTAACAGGAGGGGGGAGGCGAGACGAGCAGTCATTTTGGCAAGAACGAGCCCTGACGGGCGAGTCGGGCAGGCCAGCCCTCACGGGCGGGTCGGGCGGGCGGACCCCCACGGGCGGGCGAGGTAAGCGGGGGGCAGCGAAGCGGGCGGAGGGGCTGCCAAGCACATGCTTAGCATCGCTCGGACGTGTGCATTTTTCCTTCGGCGAGGACCATCGAGGAGCATCCTTGATCGTTTGGCGAACCACGCACGAAACCGAAAAAAGCACAGGGAATGGACGTCCGAGCGATGGCCAGCATGGGCAGGCGGACCCTCACGGGCAGGTCGGGCGGGCGGAGCCAGGCGGGCGGGTTTGGCGGGGGCGGATCCCAACGCGCGGGTCGGGCAGGCGCACCTCACCGAGCGGGTCGGGCGGGACATTCGAAAGAGCGGGCGGGCTTCAAGCAGGCGAACGGGCGGATTCTAACGGGACGGTCGGGGCGAGCCCTAACGGGCGGGTCAGGCGGGCGGGACAAAGCCTCAGGCGAGAGTACGAGTCCTGCGTAAGTTGCAAGGAAGGCTCAAGCGAGAGCGCGGTTCCTGGGCGTCGCGGGCGCGGCGCCTGAATAAGTTACGAGGAAGTTTTGAGCGAGAGAGAGACTCTTGCGTGAGTCTTTACGCAGTCCCGCGCGAGAGCGCGATTTTGAAGAAATTGCGACGAAGTACAAGGCGGGAGCAGTTGTTGTTGTAAACTGGTGGGGCAACAACCCAGTTTGGGCTTCAATATTTTCCTGGTGAAAAACACGGTGCGAGCCCAGGGCGGGGCATTTTATTGAAAGATGCAAGTGGCAACGGGCAGGAGGGATCAACAATAATGGCTCTTCAGGTATGACAGCTCAGTAACAACAGCAACAACAACACATTAGAACGTTTCGAGCGATCCCCAGCACAAGAACGCAAGGCGGGATGTCCAAGGAGCACCGGCACACTTTGCGCCTGACGGCCGCGGCATTCAGGGTGTATGAGGCGTGTCGGGAGCCCTTAATCTGAGAACCACAACTTGTCGGGTGGAGAGGGGGCAAAAGAGAAAAACCTGCCACTCAGCGTCCCCCTCCCTCCCTCCCCGCCCCTCTGCCTAGCTCGTGTCACCACCCTCTACAGTCGCGCCTCTGAGCCTATGAGCCTGTGCGCATGTCTCTTCCCATCAGACTGACGCACAGGAACTCGACCAATCGCTCCTGTGATATGTTGTTACTTCAACTGTTGTTGTCATTATTATTGTCCTTGCTATTGTTACTGTTACCAAGCACCCCGCAATTGCTGATAAGACTGATG